AGCATTTACCCAAAGATCGCAAATTTTACATATTTGTGGCTAAAACAAAAGTCAAACTTAGTAGTTTTTGGGTAATTTCATCAGTAATGAATGTGGAGAAATGAAGCCATAATGTAACTTTAAGCTCTTTATGTTGGAAGCCCACGTGATCATGTGATCACTAGTATTCGTCGATTTGCTTCACCTTTGCTCTGGTATTCTGGTTTTCCTTGCGAATAATTTTTATTAGGCAAACTCAATTTTTTTTCGCCCACCAACATTCAAATTTATATTGTTTGCTTAATAATTGAACTCCAAGTTTTCTTAGGGATTTAGTTGTTATTGTTTTTTGACACTTGCGGTGATTTTATTTGTTTTTCGGATCCAGATGTAGCGCTTCTGGTCGTGGCAGCATTTACTCATAGTTGTCGCTCGAGTGGTATTCATCTCACCGGCGCTCGCTTGYGTTTATCCAGAACCGAAGTTAAATTATAAAACTATATTCATAAATCGTTTATTTAAMATTCTATTCGTTAAGTAATTATAATTTGATTCATCATTATATSTTTYTVTATTCGTCTGCACAATCAATCTTCGAGTTGTGTTGCCATTGGCGGCTTGATTTTATATGTCACTTGTTTATGCAATATCACTGTTACTGGCTTAACGCAACCTTTTCCAGTGTAGCAGATCGTATAGCTCAGGACCGTATCCATATAGCCCATGGAATACCCRCAGAGTTCGTGACATACCCGCAAAGATCAAAACATACCCGTATAGGTCAGGACATGCCATGCAGTATAGCTCAGGGCATAACCGCAGAGATCAAGACATACCAGTTTAGCTCAGAGCATACTCGTATATCCCAGGACATACCCGTATAGCCCAGGACATACCCGTATAGCCCAGGACATACCCATAGCTCAGTAAATCACCCAAACTATAAAAGATCTCGTGGATATTTTTTATTTTTTTTACTCTTTGCATACAAAAACATGTATATTGCAAAAAGCCAAGTTCTGAGCTTAAAGAACCTAGTTACATCTATGTCTTCTGGCCGTTAAATATGTATAGCATTGCGCATGACAAAAACGAAATCATCTAAAAATCTATAAGTCACCAAATAAAATACCAGAGAAAAACATTGACACTTGCTAATCCTTTGTTTGGAAAAGTGTTTTTTAAACCTCTGAAGGTTATTGGAAAGATGGCGGAGTATAATCATACTCAAACGTGACTATGTATTTTTTTTCGTTTTATATTTCTTATTTTTTTCTTTCTTGCTCTTTACCCTTGAATACTCTGCAATAAAACCCTTTTTCTGGGTAGTCAAATCGGTTGTGAATTGAACAAAYAGTTGATTGCCAGTAGAGAAGAATTCTTTGGGTGTTTTCTTGTTGCCGCATGCTTTACCAAGTAAAGGAGACGTGGTATTATTGCCATCTCTAATTATCACTTCATCGTAACTACAGAACTTTTCATTCTCCAGGTCAAATTCCTTAAAACGAAGTTTGATGTATCCACTGCGAGAAGCTATTTTCCACGTGCATTTCAAAGAAGGGCTGTAGTTATCGTCTCCATAAGCTGGATGAGAATAGAAAATTCTTTTTTGGTTGGAAGCGTGTAATTCAGCACCACAATCTTCAATATATATGAAAACATAGTTAGAAGAATTGCAGATTACATGTATGAAACAATGACAAAAGATTAAAAATGCCTTTCGAGGGAGTTTTTTTTTGAAGTTACTGTTGTTGCTGTCGTCGTCGTTGTTGCTGTTGTTGTTGTTGTTTTGAAACTCTTACGAAAGTCATGGGATAGATGACATACAGTAAACACAGTAAACAGTGAGGTAGGTTCTTTTACTTTCAACTAACAAATATAATAAACAACTCGCAATTACAGTACCTGTAAGGAAAGATTTTTTTCTATTCAAATTTTTCATACAACAATAAACTGTGTCAGTAACGTGTGGTTTGTTTATCATGCAATTTAGCTTTATTGGAGATCTTGCTCTTAAGCTTTTATGTATAAACCTTAAGGGCAAGATCTCCAATTTGCTCAAAATGACGATTTAAAAGAAACATAAACGATAAGATTTAGGAAGAAATTTTAATTTGMTTGATCTCTTTCCGAGGTTGTATTTGTTGATTGATTTAGAACTCGCTTATTGGAAAAAGAGCAAAAAAAAGAGAAAAATCATCTTTGTCTGAATTTTCCCCTGTTTTCGCAGATCATATTGTTCTTTAGTGCTGCATTGCTCATATAGTAAAGTATGTTTTCTATCAAATGCACAATTGTTCGGCAAAAGTTTACAATTCTCGTAATCCAAACTTCACTTTTTTCACGATTTTTTTCCTTGTCTCTTAAAGTAGTATCAGCAAGGACCAATCAGGTGGCGTGTTATATGTGCACACGTTGTGATTGCTTGTTTAAAAATAGATCGGGACATCTGATGGTGACTAGATTACTAGCGAGATGGAAATAGTAATTCTGCTAATTTTACTTACATGTCTCATAGCGAGCTTTAAATCCACGCTTGGCAATAAGTGCGTCTGAGTGGAACTTAATCAACATCTTATACGATTTAGATACAACAGGTTTTGGAATCAGGTTCCCGCACGCGCGTCCAAGGCTCTCAGCATTAATACCCGTACCGGAAAAGATCTCTACGTAGTCATAGCGACAGTCGTTAGCTTCCTCTATCTGTAAAAACTAACARAGGATTGCATAATAGAATAATGCTGGACATGAGCAGAGGATGATTTGGCCTTGATAGAGCGGATTTCCTATGACTGTGCAGAAAACACGGTACTTTCGCGATGTGACCGTACCGWGCCGWASCGGTGATGTAATCTTTATTTTTATTTGGAATCCTAGAAGGCGAGGTTCCGTGTCCGTGCCGTGATCCGTGCCGGTGCACAGTCATACGAGATCCGCTCTAAACATGTAACTCACATCGCGTACAACTGCTTAGCTCTTGCCCAATCTAGGCACAGTCACATGCTTACAACACTCTACCATCTATTCTGAAAATGTGTTCTCTTACTAATGATAACGATAAAGTTACACCTTAGCACAAACAGAAACAGAATTGAACATACAATAGTGCTATGGGATATCCCGATCCACCAAGATACTCACGCATTGATGTTTGCGACAGATAAGCAGTGGATCATTTTTGAAGGAAAAGTATGCAACACAGGAGAAATGTATGAGAGGTGAAAAGTTGTAGAGAAAACCAGGCTCTTTTATATTTATTATTTTAGTTTTATCACCCCTATAATAATTTGACACATATTGAATTACAGTCAACTCTCTCGTAAGCGACCCCCTCGGGATCAGGAAAAAGTGGTCGCTTACGAGAGATGGTCGCCTTACGAGAACGTTAGCACAGGAAACCCAAACAATAATAATCATAACACAGGAGTCCCAAATAGTTCAAAGCACGTTGTTCGTATTTCAGTGTGTAAAATCTTTGAACAATGGCACTGCTTCCATGACAGTCCGCAAATTCTTGAAGTTGATCTTAATGTCCTWTGATAGTGTATTTGATAGCTAATAGTACGCTTTTACGGTTTGTAACCGGAAATGTAATTTTCGTAAGCTTTACTAAGTAATTAAATGACACACCTTTATTGCGTCAGTCGAGGGTGGTCGCTTACAGGAGAGGAAATACAATGAAAAATTCTACAATTTCAATGCCAAAAGTGGTCGCGGTCGCCTATAAGAGTGGTCGCCTACGAGAGAGTTTTTTTACAGAGTTTATATGGGAAACAAAACGGGAAATTTAAAAGGTGGTCGCTTACGGGAGATGGTCGCTTACGAGAGTGGTCGTTCAAAGAGAGTGTAACTTTTTTCAAGCCGTAAAATAGCATGACTGGAACTATATGTAATTAAATCCTTTATTCTTCATTTATGATTTTTTGATTACATAAATGCAATGAACAAACGAAATAGTCCCAAGTAAACTGGATCAAACGCCTTTATGCACTCAAGAGCCGGGTTGTTCAAATCCCGATTAGTGCTAATCCTGGGTTAACTCTTAGAAAACCTAWGGAGTTAACCTTGGATTAACGCTAATCGGGCATTGGACAACCCGCGCCCGGACCAGATCTAGACTTCAAATAAACCATCCTTCCCCAGTAGTGAATTAAAAAAAGAAAAATTGATAAGTGGATCAACTTACTCTGTATGTTAATCGTATGTGGCTTCCAGGAGTCACTATGATTTTCCATGTACAGTCTTTTTTATGTTGATACACACCCGGGAAATTAGGAGATGATACAACACCTGAAAGAGTTTTCAGAGTGGCACCGCATTCGGAAGCTAAAATGAAACATAAACATAAAATAGAATAAATACTTTGTCATAAATTTAGATAGAAAGATGAAGTCTTTGAATGGTACCTCTGCATGTCATTAGGTATTTTATGAATCGCATTATTTGTGTGTATAAGTATATTTACAAATTTATGATAGTTTCTCGTTGTATATCCTCTAAACAACATACAAAAACAAACTTGCAAACAAAATGTGGCATAACAAATAATGACATAACAGTCCAGCTACGATCATGTTCTCCTCTCAGAGGTTTCGAAAGGTATTTGGAGTCAAGACAACCAGCTTCTTTAAAAAACGACATTGCATGTTCGCTGTACGTTGATGACCTAGTAATTGGTGATATAGGACATTGGTCTCTCCCGATTACTCCAAAGGATCCGTCATAGGATGAGGAGCGGATACGCGATTTCCCTTGCTTTTCCCGAGGTACATGACCTGTAGGCAATCATGAGTCACGTTGGCTGTAAACACCCTAGTATTATTATTATTATTATTATTATTAACTACTTGAATATAGAACGAGTGATGAGACCGTGTGGGTGCGAGACGCTCTAGTATCGAAAACAGAATGACAATTATTGGAGTTCACACCCATCCTTGAGCACGGTGATTAAAGACAAAGGCTGAAGGCCTAGGTCCTGTTTTTCTTTATTTCGTTGTCAGGGGAGCTGTGGTGCACGTTCTTGAAGGGATTGAGGATTTGAGGGGGAAAGATGGAGCTGAGCGCAAAGTAGGAGGACTGTGAGTGGAGAGACGACGCTSAACAGAGAACGAAACACTAAGAGACTAACCATACCGTAATGCTTACAAGTCAACAAGAGGAATAATGAGGTGTTTTAAGGGACAGAGTGTATGAAGCTCGCTGGCCTGGTTGAACAGGCTGATTTATTTTGTTTTGTGTCCCCCAGAAAACGAAAACAAAAGAAATTATCTCGTTAAACCGGGCCAGTCCACTTCATGTATTCAGGTCCTAGGTTACCTTCCTTGCATCTGCGTTGGTCGTGGTGCAAAGCGTAACCAACTTTACATTCACAGCGATAACTTCCAATTGTATTCACACATATATGGTGGCATCCACCTTTGTTTTCCTGGCATTCATCCTCGTCTTGAASAGATGGAAAAGCTATATAAACTCTACCCTTAAATGTTTTTAATGAATTATTTTGGACGACTGTAATCTGCATGTCTACAAAACGACTCTTCCAAATATTTACCTGCGTAATACATGGCAGAAAATCCCTTCCTTGATTGCGTGTGGTCCGATTTAAATTCCACAAACATGATGTTGGAAGGCGAAGTGACCGTTTTGGGGATGTTGGATCCGCAGAGCTTGGCTAGTAATTCGTTCTTTTCATCGCGGATTTCTACGTAGTCATATCTACAATTCTAAAAAGAATGAGAGGTTTAAAGGTTCTATCATCAAGTTTGATTTCGTATGACCGTGCAACTAACACACGGTACTTTCGCGCCGTGACTGTACCATGCCGCGTCGGTAATGTATAGTTCAAACATAATTTTTTTATTTGGAATCATTACAGGCCGGCAAGGTTCCTTAAACATGTCATTCCGTGTTCGCGCAATGATCCGTACTTTTGCACATTCCTGCAAAATTCACTGTAACAATATGATTAAACGATGTTCATTCGAAGCGCTAGTCATTCCACAACAATTATTAAATTTAGTTGCCCTAAATAGACCCAGTGTGGGAGTATAAGAGATCAGACGCAGGCACAAAAAATATCAACAGTTACAACAGTTTCAGCTGAGCCAGAGAAGATGCATGCATGAAATGGTAGTAGAAAATTCATTAAAATTGCATGTATTTCAACCCCATTTAATCACAACCCCCAATGTTGGCTCAAAAGTCAGCATTGCAGACTTACACCATTAGCAGACCCCTCTAGCTTAAAATCTTTAAACTTCAGAGATATCCGTTGTCCTTTTGGCCCATTAATTTTCCATGTACATTCTTTGTTCTTGGGATAGTTTGATGGATAACTTGGGGAAGTAATAGTGCCGTTTCCATCAGACAGAGTCCCACCACATGCAGCTTAAAACAAAATATCACAAATAACTATAAGTAATGGAGCAGGAGCAACGATGGACAAAGGGCTAAATGTTGGGTTTGTGAATTGAATTTGCCTGGGCAGTCCTCTTTAATGTTTATTCCCAATGCATTTTATTCAAAAATAATGTTGTTGCTGTAATATTTTTTTTGTCAATGAAGAAAAAAACAAAAACAAGCAAAAATTTAAAAACAAATATTCAAAAAGGAATTCTCGGTTTGACATTTTAGATCCTCAATATTGTACGATGGTCTTAAAGGATACAGGACACAAGTCGTTCGATACAAACAGTGTTCTATTAGATGCACATTAGAGTGAAGGCATTGATCCTGTGAAATAAAAGTTAATAAGTAAACTGTAATAGTCAAATAGACACAAAAGAAAACAATGGAATTATCGAGTAATAACATSTAATAGTCAAATATGTATTTCACGGGTTCATTGACTTCACTCTACAATCTACAGGTAATGCAATAATGGTCATTGAAACATGTTGAATTTCGGCGAGAAAGYATTTCTTATATGAAGTGCGGATTTGACTCACCCTCGCAATCCTTTCCATTAGCATGCAGCTCGAATCCAGGAAAACAATCACACTTGTAGTTTCCTAACGTGTTGAGGCATAATTGAGAACATCCGCCATTGCTATTCTCACACTCGTTGCGCTCTGTTGATAAAAAAGTCTGTACTAATATCAACCGAGCACGTTTACGGAAGTAAGACTAATAAGATTATCACAACTCGACTTATAAATGATGTATATACAAGAGATATATGGCAGTAGGAAGTAGCAATATTTAGAGCACATAACAAAAAGGTTGCAAAATCATGCAGCCACCCGGGCTCATCAGTGATATGTACGGCTTCTATACTGTACGTGGTCTGGATCAATGGAGATACTTTATGTAGGTAGGGGTACTTGAGACTAGTTTCTACAAAACTCAATTCCATCCAAAAATGAAAGGGCGTGCACTCTTTGTAGCGAAGAACGTTGTTCTTGCAGTGACATTATTGCGAGTGACTTTGACTTCTACAGTTGCATAGTTTTGTAGACCAACTACATTACTGCCGTTTTTTACATTACTTTGTTCTCTTTAGACAACCCGAGTACTAGTTGTGGATCTTGTTGTATAAATGTTACAAGTATACGCAAAACCTTACTAGAGCTTGCTTGTTCAAACATGTTAACAGACAATATCATTGTTTATCCACTTCTGTTGTGGTCAGCTGAGGTACATACTGCATTTCGGTGGAATTCTTTGGGATCATACAGCCTATTTTTCTATAACCACCAACGCTCAAATSTCCACGCTTTTCGTGTACGTGCAAGTGGAATCCTTTGCTGGGCTTCCTTGCTTGGTCTGTACGATCGGATGAGGTCAGATGAGGGTAAAATTAGGGTTAGATTAGAGTCGGATCAAGTTCTTTTAAGGATCAGATCAGTGTTGGGTGAGAGTCCGGTTAGTGTCGGATTATTGTAGGGCTTGGGTCAGATAAAGGTTGGGTAAGGACCGTCGAATTAGGGTGGCATTACACGTTGGGTTAGGGTCGGGTTACGGTTTGGATCACATTAGTGTGGGGTTAGGCGTGGTTAGGGTCGGAAAAGGCTTGGAGATTCATAAAAAAAAGCAATTTGGATAACATAAACATAAAAACCAATCATTGTATTAGGGTCACATGTGAGAGAGACAAACCAAGGGAACTGGGACTAAGTTGCTGATTAATGGCAATTAGTTTACAGTGATGCCCCATAATCWATCGCTACACTAAATGTCAACTTTAGTATACTACAGAAGAAGATTGAAGTCAAAGCAGCYCCGTAAAGATCGGCTTATTCAGCATTTAATGTTGCCGATAAATGCGTCACATCTAACTATACCTCATCCGCGAAATTCTCATCYCTTACACATTATGTTCATAAATGTCGCATGAAACTGCTTTTGGTTAATAATTTAATCAGATTATAATAATCTTACCTGCAAAAAAAGAAACGTAGAAACCAGGTTTTGAAATTGATGGGTCTGATCTAAATTTTAGAGTTAGAAAGCTTGAATTGCTCCTGATATCAGACGGTCGCTTTTTGCCACAAAATTTCCCCAGTGATGGTGAATCAGTGCTTGCTCCATTAAACACTTGCAAATAATCGTAGTGACATTGCTCGTTGTCCTCGATATCGAACGCAACAAAACGAAGTCCAACGTTTAGTTTCTGATAAAAAATCATAAAAAATCGTTATAAAAGGTTACTTGTCGCGCTTGCTAACGAACTGATACTGTCCATCCTCAGGTRAAGGAATTATGAAGACAAAAGAAATTGAATGATCTGCATTTCATTACAAAATCTCAAGGACGCGCTCTTTATTTATTCATTTTTCTTGTTCCAGGAAAAGGATGAATGAGTTATTTTCAGTTGAATTCCGTCCAAACACGCAGATTTTGTGCCGTTTGACTGACCTCCTCCTCATCATTAAAATTTCTTGTTTTTCAGATATTTGCTTTACCATATGCTATAGTTTTTTGGCTCTAAAAATCGGTTYATTAATAATTGATAAAATTCATTAGTCACCTTGTATTTTTGCATTTGAAAAATATATTGAAAAATGTTTCATTAACTGTTGTAGCAATGCATTGTGGTCTCAGAACCCGTTTCAACCGAATGCGCTACAACCGATTCAGAATCAACCCGCTAGAACGGGTTAATAGCTGTAGTTTCATGCTAATCCACGAAGGCAAAGTTAGTCAAATGYAATGGTCATTCAATAGTTGTTGGTGGCCACCCGGAAGTCAACTGTAGGAAGATACCTYAATACCAACCTTTGACGGTAATTCAATGATCCAGACGCACTCCTTGTTCAAAGGATACCAGCTTGGGTAGTTCGGTGATTGAATAGTTCCTTGTGTTTTGCGAATCGGTCCGCCACAACGTGCTAGAACATATTAAATCAACGATTAATGCACTATTCAGAAAACGTTTACTAAAGAAGATAATCCAGTACAGAACTGCAATTGGTTGGTCGGTTTTCACTGTTCTCACTGAGCACACTTTACCTTTGTCGGGATTGAAACTAATTTAGATTTTTATTTTATAAAACCACTGGACTCCAACAACATTGAATTTCGAGATCACAATAGTCTACTACTTCAATGCTTATTTGCTTGTCATTCTAAAACTGAAGTAGTTGATATATGTTTTAAATTGATGAATCATTGTTGGTATACCAGTGAATCAGCAAAGYCGCCATGCCCGCTTACCAACGCTGTAAACGCTATATAACTGTTTAGTAAAGTAATTCTAAATAGGAATTTAAGAAACCACGTACAAATTGCCGACGAAAATAAAACAACCGTCTATCTTCAAGCGAAGATAAGTTTTGGAAAGTTTGCTGTCCTATAAGATAAAGTGTAACAAAATCCTTTCAATTGTACGTGTATTCTATGATGTAACAAAGTCATCAACCCTAGAGTGGTTCTCATTAACCCGTGAAACAAAGTGTAATAGTCAAAGTGTAATAAAGTGTAATAGCCGAGAAATATGATAGAAAACAAAAGAGAC